GTGTGTACGCCATGTTGGAAACGCACGCGATAAAAGAGACTGGCGCTGACATCTGACGTTAGCGTTTTCACAGCGTTTACGAAAATATACGTTTACGGCCGTCCACACGAAGACGCATAAACGGCGTTTTCAAATTTATCCACTTTGGAGAGCGTTTTCGAATTTATGCGTTTACGGTTAGCGTTTTCATCGTCTTCGTGTGGACGGAAGGCCTAAACGCATAAAAAAGTTTGCGTTTACTAGCGTTTGCGTTTACAATCGTCTTCGTGTGGACGGGGTCTGATGCTCAAACAAGATCTTCACACGCACGAGTGCGAAAAAAAAGTTCACCGAGCGGCAAAGTTTTAACCGATTAAACCGTCTTATCAAAAAAATAAAGCACACGGCTTTCTTACCTCTTACAGTAAATATCGAAAATAAAGTGAACATCCAGATCAAATCCGACATTCTGTTTGAATTTAAGCCTAACGCCGCCACCGCAACCTTCATCGAATAAGTGACGTTTAGGACCTGTGTACGTTGACCTAATAGTCTCGCGGGCTCAAAAAGAAAAATCTTGAGATATTCGTGGAGGGGGTGGCAAGAATAAAATGAGAAACGTTCTGTAACAAAGCTTCCATCCTTTCTGATACCACAAAAATCTCGGCAAAAAAATCGGTCGAACTGCCGATCATTTAAATTTGCGACAGGTTAGACTGAAGAAGAGGTATGCGAACAAGTAGATGGAACAAACTATCTTTGTTTAGCCCACCCCGCCACGCGGCAGCTTTGTCATTCATTCCAGCTCTTTATCCGATTTTTACTTTATCGTTATCCATTCGAGGGAAGCGAGAGAGAAGAGAACTTGCGACCAATCAACTAAGAAAATTAAATAGCGCTCCTCTCTAATTGCCTCAGTTTGATAAAATATGAAGCAAAGCTACCGTATCCTTCAGGATTTCATATAGAAAACACCATCCAAGACCCTTTGATATCTCTTTTCAAAACGAATACGCAAAATAAAACTTTATACTGAAAGCGCAACACAATAAACACAACTTTCTCCCAAAATTAAATTTCAGTAATGTCCGTTGAACTACTTTTCGACAACAATAAATAATCTGTCAATCAAGCCTCAGAGGAAGAAAAAAGTCCTGTCCAACAGAACTTCAAGTCGAAGAGTTCAAAAGTGAATGAAAAGAAGAAAGCAGGATAATTATCCTCGTCGGGATCGAATGGAGTAACCAGGGTGGGTATACGAACATCCATGCACGATGACTCAGCAAATTTCTCAAGCGCAAACTCCCGGGGAGCCCACTGCTCCATTCGGTGGGAGCAGCGGAGTCCGAAGAAACGCTCGGTTAGCGCGCTGCAACGTCGGAAGAAACAGACAACCTGATTTCCAACTTACCTCGTGGGTTCACGAAGAATTAAATTTGAAGGACTGGCTTAGCTAAGCTTCATCCTCTACCCTCTCACAGTGCCATAGATAGGCATATTAGCGCGGGCATATCCCCTAAACTGCGAACTCGGGTGAAAAAAGTGGTACACATGGCCCCTGTCTTGGAACTACAATGGCTACTGTGTCTACATTACATATGCTTGCGGATTACATCCGGGATCTGGGATGTCAAGTACGCTGACGCCATATTGATATGCCCGGAGTCGCATATCAAGTTTTATTATCCAGCTGCACTACAAATATCACGCGGTACTTGTACTCCAGAGAACCGGTTAGACAGGTTTTCTCGCAATGCGTATATGTGTGGCTTATGAAATTGAAATGCTCTCCAGTGTCTGATGTCTTGTTGAGTTTCTATTAGAAGAGGTAATATCTGATTATGGTTAGATAGTTTTCAATATTGTTCCTGTTCATAATAAAATAATATAACTGGCATAGAATAGCCCTGAAATGTTCATTTTCAAGATGAGGGTTAATGGCCAAACTTTGTTAGGGAGGTCTCATTTTGACAACAAAGGTTGCACATGTAACTCGAAGAATTTTGGAACTAAAAAAAGCATCAGCATCATCTCCCATGGTGGCCTAATAGATTCAGTCATGATTTTGTCTGTGTAACCAAGTGGAATTGAGTTATGAAGTTTGTAGGTTAATTGTCTTTTCCAAGGCAAGTGATGTGAAATGAACTCTAGGGAAGCATTTCATACGATTAGTTTGGCATTTTGTGTACCAGTACACAAGGACAGAACTTGCCAGAAGGGCAGAAACGTTCGGGAAATAATGAAATCTACACTAGAAGCCATTGGGAGCTTGATTTGGTTTGAATGTAAGACAAATTTTCGATAATGCATTCAATGTAAAGTAACACAATGCTGAGTGAAGGTTTCTATTACTGGTATCCATTAGGGCACAAAATTCTATTTTCAGTTGGTTGAGAGCAAAATGTTTACTCTAATTATTGTATTTGGGTTTTCTGGGACTGTATTTTCAATAAAGAACACAGGAAAATTTAGTTAAGGTAGGTGGATATGGGGTTGCAAATGGAAGAATCTAGGGAAAAAAGATAGGTGCATAACAAGATCAGACACAAGCAATACTTTAATGAATCATATGTTGGGTAGTACTCTGAAGTAACATTCCATTAATACTGCTAATACTTTTTAACCTAATACGATTCACAATTTGACCTGGAGGTTTTAATTAACAGAAAGTTCAATAGAGATAAGTGTCACCATAATAGATTTCAGGAACAGTAATCAAAGACACAACTTAAACACAACAGAGTTCAATGTACAGGCAAGCACATGATGGTATCATATGATTTAAAGTACCAGAATCTTTCAAGTTTTCTTACAATTGATATTGTTATTTCATGCCAGTGTGTTTCCTAAATTCAAGCTATGTGGAGACATGAAATCAAAAGGTGAACTTGACATCATCATATAAACGGTCCACTTGACATGCTATCAAAATTTATCCTTCAGCTGAAATCTTACTCAGGAATGCAATTTTGTCAGTGTCTATCGATTAATACCTAAAAAATTCAAGCTTTTGTCTACTTCAGTCAGCTACTATGTGTATGAATCAGCACAACCTACTTGTCAGTCTGATTGGTTTCTAGAGTGATCTACTGTTGCTGAGCCTACCAGTTGATTTACATTAATTTGTACTTGAGTAATTACTTTTGCACTAGTGATACATGAAAAAGGCACCTGGCTGTTTTTAGTCAATCAAGAGTGTAATTGTTCATGTACTGTATATCAGTATCGTGATGAATTAACCAAACCCAAACAAGTAACTGAAAAGTTGTAATCTACCAAGTAAAGGCCTAATACACATGTATTGCTACCAAGTTGCCCATCTGAACCATTATGAAGAGAATTTAGAAGACTGCCAAGCTTACAGGAATTCAAGAAATGTCAAGGTCTGAATAATTCTGGAAATTACTTGGAAAACATAAAAAATAATAATCACATTTCAGTGGTAACATTAAACTACTAGGTTCTAGTCCTATAAGCAATGGAATATACGCATTGTAGAAAATCATAGATCTGTGAAAACCAAAACATCACACCATTCCATTTTGTTATCCAAAAACTTGTCAATACTGGCAAGTAAAATACATTTAAATAGAACACCATGAGCATTGCACTCTGACAATGATCCTTAAAACGTGATAAGATATCCTTTGTTTCTACGAAATTGTCATAAAAGCCAATCCTTGACCTGTATTGTACAATCGAGATTCCCATACTAGTACTTTTGTCGTTTTGAAATATGCCTCCGTGAATTCTCAACAGTGCAAGGAGAGTGCAACTACTACCTTTAGCCTGGCCCTCTGACAGGGTGCGGGAAAAAAAATGAAAATTGTGCGCTTATTCGGAGGCGAATTATGCGGGAGAAAAAGTTAATTGTGCGGGTAATTGTGTGGATTGCATAATCTTGCGTCGAACAAAATATTTCGTATCCCACTCCCTGTAAATGTAAACATCGAGTTCTCCTCATAAATCATACCTTTTCTTGTCAATGTGGAATTCCTCCTGTAATGGCTAAGTGACTTCTAAATTTTACTTTGAATGATTTTTATCTTATTGACTGAACTTTAGAGCCTATTTTGAAGCAATTCTTTGTTCGTCAAAGCGATCGAAAGAGCTAAACGAAATCACTCGAGGAGATCACCCCATAACTTGAGTTCGCCAGTAAAAATTACTGACGATGGAAGCCGTGTTTTCTTATTCCACTACGATTTACGAAAGTCTTAATATCTTACAACCCACTCGTCCTGTAAATGCCAAGAATAGACATTCCCTTTTATCACTTTGAATGGTTCTACTTTGAATGAGAGAGCCAAAACGCCAGCGGCCTTATTCAACAACACCTCTGATTCGTTATTTGAAAAGCATGGGCACAAAGCGCCAATGAAAAATAGAGTTAGAAGTAGACTAGTGCCCAGGAAAGCGCAGGCTAGGGTAAAAACGCCTTGTTGTTTGAATAGCACAATCGACGAGTTGTTTGATGAAAGCTTCGAAATGCGAGTGTATTTGAAGGTAAATAGTCTGAAAATAGTCTACAGTATTCTAGAAATCTTGATACTCGACAGAAATACCCGTTTTGATTGAAATTTCAAATAAAAATTTCCGTATTGTGCGGGATTTTGCGAATTTTCACGGATTGTGCGGGTTTGACCGAATTGTGCGGTTCCGCACCCGCGCACCCTGTCAGAAGGCCTGTAATAATTAGGGTCAGACAAAAATTGAAGTCCTCTAGTGATTGATAATGAAAATCCCAGTNCCTTAGAGTATTTTAGTTTAGTTTAAACGCGATTCCTAGGAAGACCATGTAAAATGATACGATTTCGTGTATAAATAAAGATTGATGATGACGATGATGACTACAATACAACCTATTTCACTTTATGGCCCTTCCAGGAGGCTTAAGACAATTTCAAACACTTTCAAACTCTTTCAGAGACTCAGTGGTGCAACCCGCACCAATAGATCAAACCGATTGTTGTTGGCTTGCAAGAGTGCAATGACTCCTTTCAATGTAGTACAACCACAGGTAGCCCAGGCTCTGTCACAGGCTGTGTCACAGGCTCTTTCACAGTGGACTATTACAGAGTTTGTATAGTGGTTTAGTTGAACGTGCTTTTGAGCTCCATAAATATAAAGTTGTGTGAAATAATCAAAGAAATAAAGTCTTACCTTCATAAAGAGTAGTCTGTACTGTTCTTGTCGCAATTTGAGGCCGTTTTTCTGTGTTTCAGCACAACTCCCTACCACTACCAAATAAAAGGAAAGGTAGGAAAGCTCTGTCTCACACACGCTCGCCAAAATCGCTCGAAAAACACACCTACATACTTCGTCTTGAATCGAAACTTGGGAACACGAAAGCCAAATAGTTGCCCTTCAAGTTCACCAAAACAAATCCCACAAAAGTTGGGTTGTCGAGCAACCAACCCAGCGAAAATCTCAAATTGACCTCCATTTCAACGACATTCGAATCCGCGTCGGTCATGTGCAGTCAAAAGTCCGTT